TGATGAATTTTTTTTTTTAATTGAGTTGGGGTGCCATATGGAACTCTTACCTACATATCTAAGTACATGTTTATAGCGTTCTACTATGTATCACAAGATGGGAATGTTTTTAACATTTAATATGAATCGGAGAATATACAGAGTTAAGTGCGTTATATTAAAAAAATCTTGAAGCCTCAGCACGACATGACAGTCCATTGTAGAGTAGTTTATGTTACAAAAGGCTCCATCGTAAAGCTGTCATGTCTAAAACAAACTCCTCCTCTCTGTTCCGTTCCACAATCCATCGAGTGTACGAGAATGATGGTTTTCCAGTTCCTGTTTCGACAGTTTTATCACACAGACATCCATAGGCGTTGCGTTCGACGACTTTACCGGCATGTTTTCTTATGGAATAGCACGGATACCCATAACATTTTCCAGCTGCTGGAGGTATGCAATGGTTGAGTAAGAGGTGTGACTTGAAGCCTTATCTTGGTTAACCCATACATTGTTGACCTTGTAAAAAGCCGGTATTTCAGAAAATCGGTCTGACAGTAAATAGAGTTTACCTTGACCTTTTTATGCAGTCTCCTGATCCATAATTTACCACTAGCACAGTATTTAATGATAATCATGAATAATATATTCGAAAACGTTTTGCAACATGGGAATTTTTTTCACCGATTGACTGGTAAAAAATGGCACGAGAATTGTTAGTTATTAACAAACGCATACGTTTCGTCGATTATTATGTATTGACATAGAAGCAACTCGTATATTTGTATTTGGTATTTATGACAAAAGTAATAATGTTATTTTCCGCCATCTAATTTTGAACTACCGATCAGATAGAAAGCAGCCAGTCTGAATTATTCTACCATACACACTAAAGGATTAACTATCACTCTTATAACTCAACATAACATACAATATTTTATCGTAATGTATGGATTCAAACCCAGCTCTGCAGCTCCAAAATCCAGAACTCTACCTCATTGCCAACCAGTGCTTAGCAACTTGTGCCAATTTTCCAGATGAGATCCTACTTGATTATTTGTGTAGAGTCGTCTGGGAAACATGGACGATTTTTGCCACTGATCTTTGTATTAGTGAATTTTCAACTGTTACAAGACGCCGCCGTTTCCCTACAACGGCTGAGATACGATTTGTTATAGGTCTTTTTCCAGATGGTCCTGGGTCCCCAAATCGATCCATATTCACTTTTTCATTTCTTTTTTTTTTATCATTGCTGTTAGCTACAAGTGATAACCCCGTTTTGAAAATTCTAAATCCCCAGTCTGAACACATCCTTATGATCCGACTATAAGGGCTGTTCGCTATGCCCTTCCTAAAAGCGAATAATTTTGGTGGCATGGCACTGCGGTCTCAGAATGTAGTTATGATACATTCTGTTTAACTGTGCTGATTGGCATATTCCAAATTATTTAAACATAGCGTACTCAACCCTCTGTACTTGCGTTTTGACATATGCCATGAATCTATTTGTACTCTTTTAATAGTTATCCGTGTGAAAATGCACACATAATTTTCTCATGTGTATATCCAGAAACATGTTTTCTAAGAGTTAATCTAGACTTCTCTTTTCTGAAACTTAATGTGTCTCTATAAAATGCTTATTGTGATATCAAATCTAAGAATGTCTTCTCAAAGTGTTAATGTGTATCCAGAAATGAGTATTTTGATATGAAATCTAAGAATGTCTTCTCAAAGTGTTAAGGCCCGGCATGGTCAAGTGGTTAAGGCACTCGACTCGCAATCTGAGGGTCGCGGGTTCGAATCCCTGTCACAACAAACATGCTCGCGCTTTCAGCCGTGGGGGCGTTATAATGTGGCGGTCAATACCACTATTCGTTGATAAAAGAATGGCCCAACAGTTGGCTGTGGGTGGGTGGTGTTGACTAGCTGCCTTCCCTCTAGTCTTACACTGCTAAATTAGGGACGGCTAGCGCAGATAGCCCTCGTGTAGCTTTGCGCGAAATTCAAAACAAACAATCAAAGTGTTAATGTGTATCCAGAAATGAGTATTTTGATATCAAATCTAGGAATGTATTTCCTTATTCTTAATGTGTATCCCGAAATGCTTTGCTCAAGAGCTAATCGAGG